TCCCCTTTTTCTATCACAACCAGCCTTTCCAATCCACTCCAGCAGCCTGCTCTACCTGCGGTGCCTAGGATATAGGCCACCTGAGGTAGTCTAAATTTAAACTCAATTTTGTATGGTTTAACAGCTTAGACATTCCTGCAGCTCTGCTCCCTGCCTAAACAAAATGCCACAGCCTCTCAGTTTCTCTTGCCCTGCTGCTCTCCCAGGCTGGAGAGACTGTCACTATTCCCCCAGGTCCATGGCTGGGACATTCTACCCACTGAGTTCTGAGCAGCTGGTGACCTCGCTGCTAGCCACGCTTCATTCGCTCCTGATGGGCGAGCATCAATACCCTGCCCACTGCTAAGTGGCCTTGATTCCTGGCTCCTAGCTATTATCCTAGATTTCTTCCAGCATGTCTGAGGCCTAGGTACATGTATAGGGTTACTAGTGTGCATAAATAAAGGAATCAATGTAAGAATTATGATATACAATGAAATACAGAGACAAGGTAGGAATTTTGAGCAATTTTAGTAAAATATGTACAGTGTAATCCATCTGTGTGTAGAAGAAAGGTGTGAGGGTGCTCATTCTCTTATGAATGGTTGACAAGCAATCCATGGGCTGACAAAATAGCTCAAAAGATAAAGGTACTCACTGTACAAGTCTGTCAACATGGGTTTCATCCCCGGGTCCCATGGTAGACAGTAGACCCTGTATACTGGCATGTGTACACACACACACACACACACACACACACACTACTATTGCTACTATTACTACTAACAGTAGTAGTAATACATACTTCAGTAAAGAATTAATCCACAAAAGTTGACTCAAGCACATTAAGACACATTTAAAGACTGTTATTCTTTGGGTTAGTAATTCTGAGTAGCAACCCAGATTCTGTGTGAAAGAATACTTTTCAAGTAAACTATCCTATCTTTTAGAAAAAGTGTCATATGATCATTAGCTAACTACAAGGTATCATTTTAATTCAAACGATCCACATGGGGTAAGTCCTTGGGAAGTTATAGTTGATCTGGAAACTCTGACCCAAGAAAAGTCTGCAATGATTGTCTAATCAATAATCAATACTGTAGACACAGAAGTTACCCAGAAAATATTTGTTATGGAAATAGATGATGACCATTTTTATATGAGTATCTGTGTATGGAAATAAATATTTGGTGGGTGAAATTCACAGCCAGTATATACTTCTGTGTGAGAAAAATGATTTATAATTTCACTCCTCTCAAGCATGCACTTGGCATTTACTTCACAGAGACTGTCTTGACACATAAAATGGTCATTAGCAGCAAATCAGAATTAGGAATTTTCTACAGGTAGAACTGTTGAGCAACCACAAAACAACTGCTACTAACCTCAGACCACAGAATTTTGCTCCTCTTTGAGCACACCTGGAAGGTATAAAAATACAAAAGAGTTTGCAGGTAGGAAAGGTCCAAAAACTGTGCCCTGTTTGCATATTAGGCAAGTGGCTTTCATGCATTCCATTCTGAGGTGAGTGTTTAGTTTTTATCTGGCAATACTTGCCTACTCTCAGACTCTTTAAACTCAATCTGGCATAGACTCCTAAAGAATAATTTATAGAATTTGAATATGAACACACATCCGTGTTTCATATAGAGTTTTTATCACAGGTGCAGAAATAATTACAATGGCAAACGAAATCATGATGGGAAAAAAACAGCATTCATTTGCACTTTGGGGAACTATCACTCTAAATGGCTAATATTCCATGCTTCAGGGACTTTGACTGACTAACATGGAAGAAACACCTATGAACGATACCCTGGACTGGTCCACTCACCAGCCTCAGCTCCATGTTAATTATGCATAAATGATAAAGTTTGTTCTTGTCTACTATATAATGGTCTGGATGGAACTGTAAAATTAGTTCCTTAATTCTAGTTGAAAATTCCTACTAATTGTGCTTTTCCGTAAAATTTAAAGCTGTCCATGATGATTATTTTATTATATGATCTAAAATAGAACCCTGCGCATAAAAGATATCCATGTTACAGATGAGTGAACATGTACTGTAATGGTTTCTAAGATAGACTGACCTCGGATTATGCCCTGCTTTAAGTCTTGTGTTTGAAGGTCAATCTATCTTAGATTTATTTTTCAAATGTGTGGACATACTTTACTGATATCAGGGCCAATGAGTGAGAGAACCTGAAACAGGCAGCTGATGTAGAGGTTTGTATTCAGTCTGCATTGGTAATCTGAAAGTCCATGCAATAGCTGTTCTTTATTGGATAATTAGAGGCTGTTTTTTGCAAATATCAAAGAGAGAATTCCAAAGATTGGTCATAGAATCAGAGGTCAAAATTTGGTACAGAGACTACTAAGAATGTTCCTTAAGTTCAACTTTTAAATAAATCTTCCAAAAATCAAGTTTGTATTTGAGGACAATTTTGACAATTCTAGAAGTGTGTAAATACATTTAAGGACAGAAAAGCATTCATCATGGCAGATGTATGTATGCAGGTTCCTGCTCACTCAACCTTTCTTCCTCTTCCTCTGTAGTAACCTGAATAAATGTTTTGTGGTGAGCATATTGCTTCCTAATATCAACCACTACTAAGACCATGGAATGAATATTTTACCAAATTCAGTATAATGTGAGATTTCATGGAAATCTGTTGCTTAAAGACAAAATAAAAATTCACTCATCCTCGAAGCCACATTTCACAGTTTTTGCCTTTCTGGTTCATCCTTGTCTACACTCTACTTATGGTGGCTAGAACACCTGAAGTCTTCACAAACCCAGGGTTCTTGAAACTGCAAGCTTGAAGGAGAGAACACAGAAGTAAGAATATGATGCTCGATGACATCATGGTTTATTATGAAACCATTCCTGTCTACCTGCACCACACAGTCACGTGACACACAAGTGCACTGCTAATCTTTAAAGTGTTTGGGGGCTCTTATTCATCAAAAGTAGCTAAAGTGATTTTAACTAATAAAATTGGTTGATTCACTCTTTAAAAATAAAGTAAAAGCAATAAATTCTGAATCATCTACCTAATTGGTTGCTATAAGTAGATAAATAAGTTCATGTAAACTCCATTTTAATTTTACACTTTAACCATATTAGCCAGGTCTCCTAAAATACTAACCTAGCTTGCAAGAAAATTACTCCTATGAGCCATTTATCTTAAGAATTTTTTCCTCATATTCTGTACCTAGGGAAGAATTACCAAGACTCTAGGCCCTAAGAAAAGCTTTCCCTTTAGAGGTTCTGAAAATACAATAAAATATATGATTAAAAAAAAAACTGTAGAAGCCGGGCAGTGGTGGCGCATGCCTTTAATCCCAGTACTTGTGAGGCAGAGGCAGGTGGATTTCTGAATTCGAGGCCAGCCTGGTCTACAGAGTGAGTCCCAGGACGGCCAGGACTACATAGAGAAACCCTGTCTCGAAAAAAAACAAAACAACAACAACAACAACAAAAAAAACCTGTAGATTTTTCCCAACATAATATTTTTATTGATTATTTGGTAATTTCAAAAAAAGAATGCCTATTACACTCACTCATTTGAGTATATTGGTCAAACTCCTAATGGCCAGCCCCTTAAAGATGACTGAGTCCTCTCCCACTCGCACCCCAACCCCCCACTCCCTACCCCACATCTGAAGAGCAACACTTTAGCATCCTCATCACAATTTTTAAGAATTCTCTCCTTTGGCTCCTTATCTAACTGGCTGTTTGGTTGTTTGGGTTTTTTTTTTGTGTGTGTGCGGGGGGAGGGGTGTTGGGTGGGAGAGGTGGTTAGGAGGCGTGTCACAGAAACTTCAATGCTATTCTCAATAATATTTTTAAAAAAATAATTTGATGAAGACAAAATAGACACTTATTAATCCCCTACTATTCCATCCCTTGGCAGACAGACATTCTTGCTAAGTCATCACACCACTTCCCGAAGGTAGTAGCTCCTTCGTGTTGTTTGCACAAGAAGCAACTTCAATACCAGACTCTCATGGCATCCTACTATAGGACATGCAGTGACATGTCACAGTGCAAGCAGCACCTCCTACCTTAAACTCTTTTCATCATTCCAAATTCCAAGGTCCCATTCAAATTTAAAAATGATTATGTTTTTAATTTCTCAATAAAATTTATACTAGAATCTTCTACTAAGGCCAGGACATTTTTTAAAGGCATTAATGGGATACCCTGTCCTACTGACTACCTGCCATCTATATGAAAATGAAAAACAAGAACAAAACAGGGAGGAGGAGGAGGAGGAAGAGGAGGAGGGGGAGGAGGAGGAGGAGGAGGAGAGGGAGGGAGGGAGGGAGGGAGGGAGGGAGGGAGGGAGGAAGGGAGGGAGAGAGGAAGGGATTATGCCAGTCTATGGAAGTACCCTATTCTCCCCGGTATATTATACATACTGCAGCTACAAAAGCATTCTTATTCCTGAAGATAAAACCATAGCTGATGGACTCTATCATTTTAAAAAACTTGCAGTATGGGAATCTCTCCCTCCCATTTCACTTTAATAACTTTCTCTTTCTTCTGTTACCTAACACACAAAAAGTATAGCATCAAAAGTAATTTCTCTTGTAGTTTTCCAAAGAAGTAGATAGGATATTAAAATCTCTAGGTACAAAGTCATGAAAAGCAAAACCAAGCAATTATGGTTAAAAAGAAAAGAAGACAGACCCTACAAAATACTGCCACCTTAGTATTCATACTAGCAGTAGCTCTCATCTGCTATGTATGTGTCCACCTCACAGATTACAGCTGCCTGTATCCCTTACATCAAAAGTAAGAAGCAACACAGCTGCGAACATATTTTTAAGTCAGTTAAAGTTCTTCAAACCAACCAACAAATAGCATTCCTGTTATAAATTATTTTCTGGAATATTAGTTTTGTAGGTGATAACTATAGCAAAATTAGCTTGCTGTAGCATCATAGAGTTTGCTAACCATCTCCTGGTTAATGTAATGAAAATGTACTTGAAGTTAAGCCATATTTCACACTTACCACCACCTCCTCCGAGAAGACTGGCATTTGCTGTCAAAGAAAAGAAAAGAAGTTATATTTTAAAACGTACAGGAGGTACAATGTATCAAAATAGTAGAAACAGAAACTAATAATGATCACGTATCTTATTCAAACACATATACAGAAAAATCAGTGTTCTCATAAAAGAACAGACTTTATCACTATCATACCATAGTATGAAAATTAATGTTTCCCTATTTTATCTCCTCTTTCTCTTCAAATGGCTATTTTTATACATTTCCTTGTAACAATACTAAGTACATATTGAAATCTTTTCATCCTCCATCTATATCTAAATTGATCTGAATTTTCCATTTTATGACATATAGATACAACAATGCTACTTAGGCAATTTCAATGATTTCAAAGGACAATGTAACAAGAAAATATAATGATAAATTAAATTAAATTAACCATCATCAAACAAAACAATCTCAAGACATTTTGCTGTAATAAGAATAAGTCAAACTTTTACTAGAGCAGCAGATTTATTTCTATATAGAGACTCTATGGGGGGGGAGATAGAAATGTTAAGCAGGAATTTGTGAATTCTCACTGATTTATTCAGAAATTCAGCCTATGTATTCTTGGATGGCAAATAGATTTAAGAAAGTTCCATGGAATTAATATTAAACAAGATATTTATATTACCCACCTTAAGGCTAAGGGAATATTGTAAGAATGAGGCAGAAAGAGTATAGAAGGACCCCCCAAAAAAACAGAGAAAGGTTGAAAAATATCTTCTGGATGAGACACAGACATTGCAACCATGACCTCACTACTGTAGGTGTGTGCTTTAGGTCTGCACAAGAACAAGCAAGGCATAGCTGAAAGAGAAGTATAAGATGCTATATCCTTCGTTGATGAAACATTCATTATTTCTGACTGTGACTATCACAGTCAGATAGATGGGGAGTGATTGTCTTCTGTTGTGAGCCCACTAGTTATTTCAGAACTATGGTGGAGAGTTCTATCCAGTGATTACACAGATGGCCCTGTTTAAACTAAATGGCTCATACATCAAACCAGAAGTCATGAATCCAGTCAGGAAATTAAGAGGGATGAGAAAAGGATGTTAAAGATGGGAAGGAAATACAAGAGGTTCACAGGGAGGAATCAGAATGCATTATAGTCATACAAGAAATAGTCAAAGAACAAAATTAAGTAAAAGAAAAATCCACTTGTGCTTCACTTAAGAAGTAGACTTTTTTGAAGTTTGTATTGAAGACAATTGGCTGAAATAATAAATAATGTTATACTTGTGTATATACAAACATAACCTTAAGTTAAAATTCAGCATACACTGCATGGGCTAAAGAGATGCCTCTAATATTAAATTATAGGCTTACTATCAATAAATCAATATGGTACATTGAGCTTTATTCTATACACATATATTATTGACACTGTTTATGCATGTTATAAAAACATTTTTCAGCAGTATTGTGAAACCAGGTGGTAACCAAGAGCTTCCTCTTTTTTTTTTTTGTGGAGAAAATTAACAAAAATTTAAATAATTGTTTAGGAAACAGGAGTCTTTTGCTTGAAGTTTTGTATGCATTTCATAAATCATGCATTGCCATAACTTAAGAGGAGCAAATGTTATTAGTCATTAGTATTAATAATTCAATCAATAAATAATGGATCATGTGAAGGACATGTGCCCATACTCATAGTTCAATTAGACTAAATGTGTGTTGCCTTGCTAATTCCGCCAAAACTAAAGAGAGTATCATAAAAATGCATGCAGAGCAAATGCTTTGGAAGTTCCTTTCATTATTTCAATATCAGACCATCAAACTCTGCCTCATGTGGCCTTCCAAGTATAGAGCTATCTAATTATGGTTCTCCCACCCATCAGTGCTTTCTCAAAAACACGGGCAGAATAGATATGCCACTAGCAAATCAGAAACTGAACTGTGTTCTGATGTCATCCTTCCATTCACATCCAGACCCCTTTGGTGTCACCCTGAAAAGATGTGGTATTACACAAACACGAACTACAGCTTATCATCTTGCCCCAGGTCCAGCCCTGAGAAGGTCAGTTTACTGCACACAGTGATGGGAATCTTCATGTCTCCTCTTCCCTGGAAGACGAATTACATGGTCAACTCAAATCTCTTGGTTACCCCAGCCAGTTCCTCAAATCTTACTGCATTTATAAAACCACAAGGCACCCCCCACACCTGCTTCTCTAACCGCCCTATTGAACTGAGAATGGCTTTCTTGTCTGTGGGTTTCCCAGGCCTCTGAAGTTCCATCTGCTGTCTTCCAATTTTCATATATTCATTCATAAGGGGAAAACGTATGTCCAACAACAAATAAAAAACAAAGATAAGCAATAGCTCTCCACTGAAAGCATCATTCATGCCAAGGAACACAGTAATGGGTTGGAGTCGATTTTCATCTATCATTCATCAATAAAGGTGGAAGCTGTATGTTTCAAGAGCCCCATCCAGAGCCCATCTGTTTAACCAGGCATGTGTCCAGTAGATGAGTAGGAGTAGGTGTAGGATTTAGACTCTTCACCCTTGCCAATCATCAAGTCATTTTATGTCAATATGTGTTCATGTCTAGATGAGCCTATCTGGAACACTAATATAGAAGTCATTTTCTTCCATAAAATTGCCAAAAATATGCAAAGTGTATTTTTATTGTGACTTCTAATATGACGTTGCCTCCACAAAACACTTCAATTACTATCCAACACTCACTAGGTAGACACATTAATATTTCTTCCACTTTAAGAAAATGAAAATAATTTTTGTGGGTTCAAGGTTATTTAATTTCTTCTTAATTATTTCTAATAAATTAATACATATCCCAATTAAATAAAGAGCTCCTTGAAAATAAGATCTGAACTTAGTGGCTACTTCTGTACCTAATAATTTCTAAATACATGTTTTAAATTGTGAGATAATTGACAGGCTTAGTTAATTCTTGTTTCATATAAAAAGTACTTATTTGCTAAAATCCAGAAGAACCAATCTTTGGCCAGACTTTATTTTCTAAAATCAAGACCTATTACAGAGCTCTTAAAGTTTACTTGAAATGTTTATAGAACTGACTTTAGTTCTTGCATGTAATTAAAATGGTATAAATGCAAAAGGGAGGAGGAGGGATGGGATAGGGGGTTTATTGGGGAGGGATGGGGAAAGGGGATAACATCTGAGATTAAAATAAATAAAATATTCAATTAAAAAAATAAATGCTTATAATTCAAAGCATATGAAATATATCTAGACCCATCAAAATGTCTTGCCAGGATGACTGATGACCCTGTTCTGGGCTATTCCTAGAATATCATGGTGGAGGGCAAGAGGCAGGATAAAAAACACTACAAACATGACCCCACTGTTCCTATCGTAAGATTTAGAAACTCCTTTCTATGCATGCTCACTAGGCAGAACATTTCAAATTCTCTACAATAATTTATTGCACACATACTCATGCTTGCTTTCTAAAGGAACTTGGTTCATATAACCCAGTAGTCATATCATTGTTGGAAGACAGGGCAGGAGCTCAAAGCAGAGACCTTGGAGGACTTACTCTACAGGGTTTGCTCAGCTTGCTTTCCTACACATATGCCATTAGTGACACCCTACAGGCCAGTTGGATGGAGGCATTTTCTTAACTAAGGTTCTCTCTTCTCAGAAGACCCTAGGTTGTATCAAGTTGACACAAAACTAATGTGCACATTATACAAATGATCAAATGTAATTAATGCTTGTGGGAACTTCTTGTTCCTTTTAAGCCCAAATTTAAATTTTTGATTAAACTTAACAAGTTTTTATATGTGTTAATATTCACACTTAGTGTATTAAACCAAAAATTTCAGCAGTACATTGTAAGCAGTCCTTTCTTGGGGTAATCATCTTAAATAATGAAAGAATATAGTAATTTCCAATAATGCACAAGTTTAGTTTAAAATAAAATTGATATAAAACTACTTTCTTCCTTTAAAAATATTCTCCTAAATAGTGCATGGTGTGTATGTCTCCTTTAGAAGAGATTAGTAATAAAAGAAATTAAAATAAAAAAGCTTATAATCAGCCTTGTGGAACAAATCATGAAAGCACTGGCCTGGAGGCCCAGCCAGCTAGGTTTTAATTCTACATCAGTTACTAAACAACTGATGGACATGAGCAGGTCGCCATTATCTCATTCATCTTCTGCCAGAAAACAGAGTCGCCCAGGTAACAGAGAACAGGATTCAAATTCTTCTGACTCACTGATAAAAAAACATAACTGTAATCTTTCTCATCTGAGAAAGATTCTGGAGACAATGGACACCCGGTGCAAAGTGTACTACGCATGATTTAAGGTTTTGGTCAGGGTGAGGGAAGGCAGCAACATTAATACCATGGTAGCCACCTTGAGCTTGTATTTCTGGATCCAAGACCAGTCAGTATTGATTGCTTTGTGCAACAAAACCCTATCCAATGATCTTATCCAACCATTCACATTCATTCTTTCGAGTAAATGTATTTATTCTACATATCTCGCTATAATTTAGAGCCAGTGGCAGGGCACAGGCACATGCTTGTGTCGGTCAATGAAAAATTTGAGGTCATTGGTTCTCTCCTACTATCTGAGTCCCTGAAATCAAATCACAGTAGTCAGTCTCAACTGTAAGCATCTCTATCCACTGAACCATCTTCCCAATACTACTTCTTAAATTTTTATTTGTTCACTTACTTACTTACTTGTGCGAATGGGCATATTGCCTTCATATGTGTCTGGTATCATAGGTGTGCCTGATGCCCACGGAAGCCAGAAGAGCGTGTCAGATTCTCTGGGACTGGCAATACAAACAGTTGTTAACCACCATTTGAATCCTCAGTGATCTTAACCACTGAGCCATCTCTCCAGCCTCAGCAGCATTTTTTAAAAACCATTTGAATGTTTCTTTCAGTTCATGAGTCTGAAAGAATCAAGTCTCTTATCTCCACAGTAATTATTTGTTTTCTTGCTTCATTTCTATCTCACCCTAAACTATCTTGTCAAAC